GGGGGGGGGCGGGGGGAGAGGGGTGTGAAGGGAGGGGGGCTGAGTGAGGGGGTTGCAGATTTCTTATACCTACTTCTGAAGAATCTGGTACTGACCAGTTATAGCTATCTTTATTGATTGCTATGGCTTAGGTGCATTGCTGGACTGGTATGGCAGCTTGATTCTACTGCATGTTATGTTTTTTTGATAAGTCCCATCTTTTACTAGCATTTTTCAATGCAATCTTGTAGGGCAATTACTGAATCCAATTCCAGTTTTGACTGTTGTTCAGAAACCGAATATGATTTTTTGAAGAACATTAACTTATTGCACAGTCCCTGCCTTTTCCCAAAGCATCAAATACAAATCTCTGTATCCTGTATTTCTTTGCATCATTTAGTCTGAAATTTGTGAGACAACTTTTTTGGGGGCTGCATTTCTGATTACCTCTTTTAAAGCTGTGTTTTTGGCAAGAACTTATTTTAATGACTGGGACAACTTTTCATAAAATGAGAATTTCAAAGTTTTATCTTTCTGGAATGGTCAGCTTTTAGATTTTCCAAATACAGAATAAGATGGATCGTCACTAACTATTTAAAAAGAATATTTACGGCACAGTCAGTGGGGAAATGGAAGTGTGAAATGCTTCTATTTGTGTTGCACTTCCTTTGCAAAAGTTTGAATATCAGGGATTATCAAATATGTTCCTTTCCAGGTTGGCTATAAGATTAGCATAATGCATTTGCAAAACCTCTCCTTTTCATGGTTTTACTTAGCTCGACAGCTGACTGTCCAGATGATGCAAAATCCTCAGATTCTTGCAGCCCTTCAGGAAAGACTTGATGGCCTGGTAGGAACGTCTACAGGATATATAGAAAGGTATAATTTGTTGTCATTCAGAAGTTATAGTATCTGTGTATTATAATCTTGCTGCCTGTGGAAATGTTGACACCACTCAGTTTCTTCATTTTCAGACACATAGTGTTAATACAACTTACATTAGGCCACAGGAGGTAGTTTATCAGAAACTAACTTTGAGAAGAAATCAGGAACTGAATTCCCTTGAGGTGTGGGGTTTTTTACTTGCGGAATCTTGGTAAAGAGAATTAAATAGGGTTGACATGTTAAAATGTACCTTTGGAAGTTACTTTAAGTTTGGCCTCTGAGGTTTTCAGTTTTGTGGTATTTATTGATGAAATAATTGGAACTGCTTTACAGAAATTGATTCACACGTTTCAAAATCTGGTTGCCTAGTGGCTTTTCCTGGTTTCTGTTTTACAGTATCATCAAACTTGTAGAATAGCAAAAATGTCATTAATGACGTGTTAAGGTTGCCCGGTTGATAGCTCATGCACTTCTAGAATGTAGAGTTCAGCAAAATTAAAACTTCAGAAAACCAGGAAATAGAATTAGACTGTACAAGCATTTTACGTTTTAACTCGGTTGGTATTTAGCCTGGACCTAGCAATAGACCCTGGGAATTACTTGCATGGACTAGAACTCCTTTCACTGTTCAGTGTAGATGTACTGAATAGTGGAGGAATAAGCTGGAACAATTTAGATGAGCTGTGTAGTTTTAGGAGGAGATCAGGGTCTGTATCCCTTCTGCCCCTTCCCACCACATATACTATCAAAGGAAAGATACACATGTACCTTGAGATGCATCACTTTGATACAGAATTTGATAAGTTGTCAGTAGCTGTGTTCTAGGGTCATCTTGCTATGGATGTTGTCATCAGATGGGAAATGAGAGCAATTGGTTGATGAAGTGATGGGTTGGTGGAAGTTTAAGGTTTGGGTGATATATGTACAGGTATTAGTGGGTTGTAAAAGGGTATGAAGTGGTTGGTATTCTGTCCAGGAGGAGTATTAGTGTAGGGCAAGGGTAAGTAACCTGTTCACTGCAGTAACAAGGCAGAGTGCAAATAGGTATTGTGGGACACTTAGTCACATCAGTAGGAGTTCTTAAGTTTTGTAAGAGCTTGCTGGAAATGGAAGTACCTTGTCTGTGGAGAACTTCAAAAATTCCTTCTATTTAAAACAGCAGCAAACAATTTTGAAACTTTCTGCAAAGAACAGGAATTTCAAAAATTTGGATTTAGTTCACTGCTCTGTTATGGAAAAAGTGGTGTAATTTTGTTTCAACCTTTTCAGAATGTGTGAGATTAAAGACCGCTCTCTGTTTCCGGGAGTCCTAACTCAGAGGCAGTCTGTCTGGAACTCCAGGCTTCTAAGGATCTGAGCAGGCCAGCAATCAGTCAGGAAACCAAGCGAGCTTCCATTGAAACTCTTGAGTTCAGCTGAAATCAATAAATTACTGTGAAATGTTTGGATTTTGACAAATTTGTGTTTTCTGGTAGAAAAGTATTTTCTTTTGCCAAGTTTAGGTGTATCTGTTGCAACCAGACAGGTACTCCTGTGTCTATGTTTATTCCAGTGAAGATGGACTTCATAAGCTGATCTGAAGTCTTTTTTTAGGTCAGACAAACTTCTTAAAGACTCACCCTGCTTCTCATTTGGCCATACGTTCATTAAATTAGCTTGCATTCAGAGGAACAAATGTTAACTTAGTCATCTTGCATGTGTTCTATTCCTTCACTTTGATTCTTTTGGACTGCTGCCTCTCTTTAGAGCTATTGCAAAATGCTACCTTTTATAAAACTGCTTATAGATGACGCTTTGTAGATAATGGATATATAAATCTCAGTTAAAGTTTGAAATGAGCTGGCATTAGCAGGTCTGTATTTTACTTTTATATTCAATGTGATTTATATTAAGGAACCAAGATGCTGCTGAAAAAGGGGTTAAATTGCATTAAATCGTTCTAGGTGGAATTTGCATTAGATATCTAATACTAGCTATAGCTCAGCCTTGGGGGCCTTAATATTTTTATTGTACATTATTGGAGCCCAATATATAAGGAAAGCACCTAGTTGATTACCAGTAAAGCTAATAGCTCAATGAGTTGAATCTGATTTAGTGTGTACTATAATCACGGTTATTGCAACACTTTTCCCTGCAAGTTCACTTAATACATTGGCCTTCTCTAGGACAGGGCTTGGCAACCTTCAGCAGGCACTGGGAATTGCGGAGGGGGGGAGGGAAGTGTGCCTGTGGATGGTCAATATCAAGGTTCCCTCTAAGTTGCGCAGTCAGGGTGCATATACACAGCACCCGTAGGTTGAAATAAGATCACAATTAGCGTAGCTCAAATTGTGTCATCTTATTTCGATCTAATTTTGAAATAAACTGCTATTCCAAAACATCCTTTTGAAATAACGGGCTAGTTCAAAAGACGTGGAACAGCTATTTTGGGATACATCTGATATTGCAAAATAGCACCGCGGTCTAGACGTAGCCCTACAGGGTCAGAGGAGTGTGCTGTTCTCACAGCCAGGGCAGAGGCACACTCCTCCAGCCCCAGAAGGGAGCTGTCATGTCCAGGAGAAAGCTTTGCTGCTCTAGCCTGAGCAGGAAGGCTGGATTAAGAAAGGGGGTTTAGGGGGCTCATGAGGCTCTGTTAGCCTGGGACCTTAGACTACAGCCTGTAAAGCCCCTGTGTTCTGGGCCAACCCTTCGGGGGCGGGAGGGGGGAAGGAGAAGACAGGCAGCTCCAAGTGCCTCCCCATCCCCCAGCTGGAGTGCCAGGAAGCTCTGTCCCCATAGTGCCCATTGGCTGGGAATTATGGCCAATGGGAGCTGGGGGTGGGGGGGTTAGGGTTAGGGAGGAGCTAAAAGGTGGTGAAGTGGTGCAATAATGTTTGCTCCACCCCCTCCCCCCCATCAGTGCCATAGTGGGGGAGGAGGGGCAGTTGCCCCTGGGTACCAAGCTAGGGGGGCGCCAGGCTGGAGTGGAGTGCACAGCCCCACACAGCGAGCCCAGCGCTGGCGGGCCACTTGTTCCCTGCAGACAGGCCACTGAGGCAGGGCTGGGTGGCGGGAGTAAGCACTTCAAAGGTAGGGTTACCCTGGGGGTGCCTGGCTCTGGGGGTACTTATAACTTTTTATTTTGGAAAGAAGGGTACTTTATATTAAAAAAATAAAAAAACAGTTGAGAATTAGAGCAGTGGTCTTCAACTTTTTTAAGTACAAGATCACTTTTTGAATTTAAGTGCAATCAAGGATCTACCTCAAACCCAAATATCCTTGCCCTGCCTCCTTCTCTCCCCTTCTCTGAGGCCCCACCCCTGCTCACTCCATCCTCCCTCAGTTTTATCAGGCTTGGGGCAGGGGTTTTGGATGCAGGAGACCTTTGGTGCCTGGCTCTGGGGGAGGGGAGGCACATTGGGTTAGAGCGGGAGGGCTGGGGGTGCCTGGCTCTGGGGGTACTTATAACTTTTTATTTTGGAAAGAAGGGTACTTTATATTAAAAAAATAAAAAAACAGTTGAGAATTAGAGCAGTGGTCTTCAACTTTTTTAAGTACAAGATCACTTTTTGAATTTAAGTGCCTTTGGTGCCTGGCTCTGGGGGAGGGGAGGCACATTGGGTTAGAGCGGGAGGGCTGGGGGTGCCTGGCTCTGGGGGTACTTATAACTTTTTATTTTGGAAAGAAGGGTACTTTATATTAAAAAAATAAAAAAACAGTTGAGAATTAGAGCAGTGGTCTTCAACTTTTTTAAGTACAAGATCACTTTTTGAATTTAAGTGCAATCAAGGATCTACCTCAAACCCAAATATCCTTGCCCTGCCTCCTTCTCTCCCCTTCTCTGAGGCCCCACCCCTGCTCACTCCATCCTCCCTCAGTTTTATCAGGCTTGGGGCAGGGGTTTTGGGTGCAGGAGAGGTTCAGGACTGGGTCAGGAATTCGGAATGCGGGCTCCAGCTGGGCACTGCTTACCACAGGTGGCTGCTGGGTGGTGGTGGTGCATGGGACTAAGGCAGGCTCACCCCTGCTCTGGCTCTACACCAGTCCCAAAAGCATCCAGCAAACTCTCCATCCCTGCCCCCCTCTGTTCTGTGGAGATGGGGTACAGGATGGAGGGAGGGGCTCCCTGACATCAGCACCCCCTCTTCCTCTTCTTCCCATGCCCTCCACACCAAGCAGGAAGCTGCGGGGGGAGAGGGCAGGCAGTGCCAAGGCAGAGGGCAGGAGCAGCACGGTAGTGCTGAGAGGGGCAAATGCAGTCCTTGCATTTGATAGCCTCCTGGCCAGATCTCTCATGATCACCTGTCAGAGGCTCCAAGAGCTACCAGTATCTACTGGGTGGTGACCACGAATTAGAGGGAACACTGGTCAACATAAGCAAAATGTCTCACGGCCCACCAGTGGGTAACTGTGATGGGCCACGTGCTGAAGGTTGCCAATCCTTGGTCTAGGCAAAAATCTTTTTAATTAATGAAAATGTTTTGAAGACTCTCAAATGGTTAATATACAGATGTAAATCCTGAAGCTACTTTATTTCCTCTAAGAAAATAGGAAAAACAGTAGTTTGTCAGGATACTGCTTTCTCCCCCTTTACAAAAATTGGCCAGTGCATCAACATGACAATCATTTAATAAATAACTTTTTAAATTCAGTTAATGTTTTTAGAAAGCAGTCTAGTATTATTGCTTTGGGTCTTTAGACAAAACTTTTTGTAAAAAACTTACTTTTGTCTCCATTCTTTGGAATGCTTTACCCGTAGCCTTAATGAAAGCTCAGGTTAGTTTGAGTTTGCACTACCCTTTAATCTCAGTGAGTCATGTTTTCCATTGTTCTTCTGTTTAAAGCTTATGAATGAGAAGTAATACAGCATAAAACAAAATCAATATGTGCCATAGAAGATGGCTGAAGGGGTTGGAGAAAGATTGAGAAGGGAATCGGTGTGTGTTATGAAACATTTTTGTTCATATTTATAATGCTGTAAAACTGAAACTTTCAGCTTGCCTAAGGTAGTTAAGAGACGTGTGAATGCTCTCAAGAACCTTCAAGTTAAATGTGCACAGATAGAGGCAAAGTTCTACGAGGAAGTCCATGAGTTGGAAAGAAAGTATGCTGCTCTCTATCAACCTTTGTTTGATAAGGTAATGACTGCTAATTTGACTTATTTGAAAGCTCTAGTTAATTAAAATCCCCGAAGAAAAGATTACGGTGGGAATGAATATCTGTGGTGATAACTGTAGCTGTACAGTGTTACAGTCCCATGTGGGGCCAGACTGTGAACCTCTCCATCCCCTGAGTGAATTAATTTCAATAGGACCACCTATGAGAGTACTCTCTAATGAATCTGATTAAGTGTCTCATGACCTATAGCTACCAAAACAATTGTTTTGAGAGTCCTGTCCAGTCCTTTGTAGCTTGATGTCCAAATCAGGCCTCTTAGCAGTGAGTGGCTGTTTTGAGGAGGATAGGAGTAAAATGTAAGGTTACTGTTGCGTGGCAGATGAGGTCAAGAAGCAAATGGAATTTCTTCCCCAAAGGGAGAGCTTTGATTGTGATAACTTACAACCTACTCGGAAGAGTGATTTTTTTTTTTTTTTTTTTTTTTTTTTTTTTTTTTAATGGGCATTACATACTTCAGATTCAATATTAAAGTTATACAGATTTAAGTAAACCTGAAAGACTTTATGGCTTTATTTTCCAGCGAAGTGAAATCATCAATGCAATTTATGAACCTACAGAGGAAGAATGTGAGTGGAAAGCAGATACTGAAGAAGAAATTTCAGTGAGTATCTTCACTGTAGCTGAAGAGAACTACTGATGGACCATTTCAAGCTTTAACACACTAAGGCTACGTCTACACTGTGCATTGTTGTGCAAGAAGATATGCAAATGAGGCATGGCAATGAAGGAGCTGTCTATGCTGCTCCTTCTTGTGCAAAAACCCCCTCTTGCGCAGGAGCCGTTCTGCTCTTATTTTCAGGAAAGAACGGCTCCTGTGCAAGAGGGGTTTTTTTGCACAAGAAGGAGCAGTGTATTCAGCTCCTTCTTGGGCAAAAGCCCCTTGCGCAAAAATGGTGGCTCATTAGATATGCAAATGAGACGCGGCGATATACATCGCTGTGCCTCATTTACATATCTTGCTCAACAATGCGCAGTGTACGTGTACGCTGCCTAAGGGTACGTGTACACTGCAACACTATTTTGAAATAACTAGCACTATTACGAAATAATGTAGTCCAAGTCTACACAGCAGGCAGTTATTTGGAAATACAGGCAGTCCCCGACTTATGCGGATCCGACTTACAAACGGGGCTTTCTTGCCCCGGAGCTCGCAGGCAGCGGTCCCGCCACCTCGACCTCCGGGGCGAGAAAAGCTGCTC